GACTTATACTGACTGCTGTGTAAATGGGAAACAAATAATAGGTTTTCTACCTTCACAACTCGATTGTCAAGCCCCTTGGTGTGCTCTTCAAATTCCACTCCTATGGTATAATTCAATTCATAGTTTCTGAAAGTGCTCAGTGTTTTTGTCTTGAAATTGTCTCCATCCTGAATAATTTCTTTTGTTTGTTTTAGATGGTTTGCAATCTTACGGGTAGCAAAATCGATGCCTGCAGATGAAATAAGAGATATGCATTTTAACAATGTGCCTGATTAAATTTGATTTCTAAATGTAAAAACACAAACTTTTGAGGTTATGCAGATGCCCAATAAGACTTTTGGCTTTTTAAAAAGAGTTCACATCTCTTCTGTGAACTGATTTTTAATAAGTTATTTTGAAGTGGTCAATGCATCAGAAAAATCCCTTGTTAAATTGCCATGTCTGCCCACTTTTGAATAGGAATTTATCTCAAGATAGCAGATTTGCACATAAGGATCTTGAAGTAATTCCCATTGAAAACAGTGGGACTGATTTTCTAAGAAAACACATGCAAGATTGTGCTCTAAAAGATAACATATACATACATGTATACATATTTTCTATTAGTAGAATATCTCATTATCTAAGGCTATGTCATGCCTTCCTTGGAGCCTGACTCCGAGGAAGACATGGAGTTCTCTGCTGAGGCATAGGAGGGGGTATCTGTGGGTTTGGAGGACTGTAGGGAGGAGCAGGCTGAGACAGGCCAGGGCCCTTCATGTTTGGAACAGGGAAGGCAGAGTTCAGGTGAGGAGCAAGCCCCCCCCACCTGATCCTAGAGCAAGGAGAGCAGAGAAGAGGAGAGAACAACGGAGGCAAGCTCAATTGCTAGGGAGGAGAGCGTCCCGCCCCACTCCACAAGCCACACCTGGGGATTAGGATTTAAGGAGATGCTGTGGGGTGGGGCATTTGCCAGGAACAAATGTGGTATCTTGACATAGTTGTGAATTGTGCTCTTGTTTGCATTTAACCTGGACACTTTGAATTCTGGACCAGTTTGTTTCCTGCTTCACGACCACAGACTGCATTCCTGAGTCTCTCCTTGCAGTTTGCAGTTTGCAGGCAAGCTGAGAGTTAAAAGGACTCTTTACGTTTTCTTGTTATCTGTCTTGTCTTGAGAATATTGTATTGGTTGAACTCTTGCCAGCATATGTGGAAGCTTTTGGGCAACATTGGCAGTGATTAAAGGACTGTTGCGCTTGCCAACCGATTGCTTTGCCTCTGGGTCATCACAGCCTACTTTTATAGAATTGTACAACAGTTAATAATGTGCTGATGTGTTATGGTTAGAAGCTACAATTATCAAATAGGATTCTGAATGCAAAGTTCTTTCTCTGTCAATCAGATAATTCCATTACCACCCAATTTCTCTATCACTGTTCTCCTCCCTGGCTAGTCAGCTAGCTAGTCTTATGGTCAGTTTTTCACACCAAAACCTATTGCATGCCAAGCTTTGTGATTTCAAACAAGATAAATACAATTTCTTAATCACCTCTCAAATAAAGATATTTAGCTATATTACTAGAGAGGTGTTGTAACAGAAAGGAAGTAACATGATGGAGAGCATCAGGGACAGCACAAGAGCAAAGAATTGCCTATCTGCAACTGAAGCTTCTTTCTGCCTGAGAAACAGTAGGTAATATCCATTAACCCCCATCACTTCCACGAACCAGTCCAACCTGTTTTTTTTAAAGCCAGTCAAGTTGGTAGCCACATCTCTTGGCAGAATCTCATAGCTACTAAATTTTATGGTGGCAAATTCTAAACTTTAGCTACAGTGCAATAAGGATTTAGGAACATTTATAAGCAGTTCACACATGACCTGAATAATAAACCACATGCTCAATTCACACATTATGCTCAATTAAAGGCAGTTAGGTTTTATTATTGTTTAGCAGGCCAATACATTACTGAAACTCAGACATTAAAGGCACATAGGAGAGCTTCAGTATCCTTTTGTGCTTGGAGAACTCTTTTCCATAGGTATTTTTCTACCTTAATCTACTTTGTATTTGAATGTTATAATCACATGGGTGGAAAGAGAGAGCAAGGTTGGACTGGTTCCAATGTCCATCTAGGTAACAGAAAATTGAAACACATATTTATTTATTTATTTGTTTATTTGCATCCCATCTTTATTGTTTTTCCAAATAACTCAAGGTGATGAACATATCCAACACCCCTCCTCCTTCTATTTTCCCCACAACAACAACAACTCTGTGAGGTGAGTTAGGCTGAGAGAAAGTGACTGGCTCAAGGTCACTCAGCTGACTTTCCTGGCAAATTCATGTTCTCCTGCTTTTTAGCCTGGTGCTATAACCACTAGACCAGTGGTTCCCAACCTTTTCTATACCCTGTACCCCTAGAATGCTTCTGATATATTCTCACACCCTTGAAAAGTTTGAAATAATGGAAACAAATTATTGTTTGTTGCCATTATAGTGCATATACACTATAATTTTGAAAACCCTAGCTTTTGCTCTCCCTGGAATATCGTCTCGCACCCCCAGGGGGTGCAAGCACCCCTTGTTGGGAACCCCTACACTAGACAAAACTGGCTGCCTCATCTTACTATGTTCAGAACTTGCTGTGAAAAATGAGTTGGAAAGCATTAGTAGTTTTGTAGTTTAATCATCATTGCCTTCCATTACATAATGGCTTTTTTGTTATCACTTTATTTTGATCATGATCAGAATAGGATATTTGAAGAGCAATGGTATACAAAAGATCAAATATAAAAGAGAATATGCTGGGCTGATTTCTTTCTTGTCATATTTCAGTAAAAGATGCTAGTGATGAGCTAAACAAATTCATCAGTGGGAATAGCAGTCAACCAAGATTGTTGTAAACACGTCCTTGAACTCAAGATGTATTTCACCTCTGTCAGCCAAAAGCTCAAAGATAGAGAGCTGTGTCGTTTATTATCCATTTCCTCCTCTAGTGGTTGCCACTGATTGAATAAGATTGCAAAGCATAAAGCAGCAAATGCAATGTTGTGATGTAAGCCCTATGTGAGAAGTACTAAAGAGGTGGAACTTGAATCGTGATGCAACTATATCTTGCTCATTTTGATCCTCCTTGCAGATTCCAGTGAAAGCTTAGAATATCTGATAGATAAAACTGAATGTTTTTGCAAAGTAGATAATATTTTGCAGCTAAAATATCTAGCAAGTTTCCCCAAGACAGCCATAGAGCAATCCTACCCAAGAAACAATTTAGTGGACCTAAAATGTAAAGAAACACATACTTACATACACACAGGTGCATAGACCCACAGACCCATAGAAATACACACACAGAGATATCTATACAGACATCTTATTTTGTCATCCTTTACCTTACCCTGTTAAGTATTACATTGTCATTCTTATAAAATATGAATACAGTTTGCTATCTTTTACTGAATTTATTAGTGTTGTCTTTAATGAGGAAAATCTGAACAAAAAATCATCCCTTCTTAAATATTTCCCCCAGATTTCCTATTCTGATGCACAGTTATGTTATAGTCTTTTTTATTTTCTTGTGAAAGTAAAAAGGGCATCATATACATAAATATGATAAAATATTGAAAATATTTACACTGATAATTATACTAGTGTACTTGTTGTATTGCAATTAATGTAATTATATATAAGAAGAAACCTGTCCCAGAAGTCAAAAAAGTGAAGATGTAATACTAATACTTCATTGCCTGGTTAACTGTTCAGAAGGAAAAATATGCAACAGGTCATGTATAAAAAGGGAACATTTGCAAATGATTGTCCCACTGATGGCTGGCACTATGTGCAGGAGTTGTACATCTGAAACTTAGCGATCTTTAGAACCGACAGCCTGAGAATTAGAGCTCATATTTATTCTAGGAACTCCTAACAGTTGACTAGTTTTGTTAATATACCAGCCATCTGTTCAATGCTAACGGTAATTTTTGTTTGTTTGATGTCCCTTAGTAGGCATAAGCTATTACAGTAAATCAGAGTTTATATATGTGCAATTCATTATTAGGTAGAAAGTGAAATGAGTAAGAACAATGCAGTAATGCTTTTTCTTTTTAAAATTTGGCAACCATAATCTCTACTGCAGATTGCTCAATTAAGATTGTGTCTGCTGTATAAGAGAATACAAGGCAAACACAATGTACTAACTGCTGGGTTCTTGTATTGATAATACTGAAAATAAATTTAAGATCCAGATGTCAATGTATTACGTGTAGAATCCTACGATTGCTATACCTGAGATAAACATGGGATGGAGTCTCACCTTGGGACAACCTTCTTTCCTGTTTGGCCAATATCCATTATTCTATTGAATCAATAGAATATATTCTCATAAGCTCTACAGTTTATAAAAATAAGTAGACATCCCTTGTCACCTAATTTAATGCTATGCCCAGTTTTGTAAGCCATTTTTGCCTTTACCAGAGATATACATAAAAATAGTCACATGATGCATGGTGCTTTGTAGGATTAAAAGATAATTTACTACTGTTGTCTTGATTGGCAGTTTTAACACTTTTAAACAGCGTACATAAATATTTGTTGTAATTTTAGGTTTTGAATTATTTTAATCTATACTACTTTGCATGCATATAATTCGAAGGCTTCATATGCCTTCCATTGGATGTAAAGCACTGTTTTAAAAATATTTGAATTATCTCTGATTATATTTTAATACATGCTTAAGCAATTGCGTTCAAAGTACCTTATGTATTGTAAAGATAGAATTTAATCGTCTGAATTAAGTTTATACTTACCCAAAGCAATCATATAACCTTCAAAGTTTTCATTTAATACCATTTCCCATTTCCCATTGTAATCTGCAGGCATTGCTGCTTGGTAGTTTAGCTATGGAATATGAAATGGTGGTTCTCCAAAAAGAATGAACTGTAATTCTATCTTTTTTATAGTTCTTCAGATGTAGTTTATGGTTTCTAATATAATAAAGTCTAAGGGTCACTGAGATAATCTAAGCAGAACGTTATGTTCGTTATTAAAGTTCAAAGAAGAACTAGATGTGAGGAGGAAAATGATGTTGCAATGACCTTTGTAAAATGTTAAGAAAAAAGACAATACAATATTTTTTATGAAAGCATATGGTTGAAATATGTATTTCATAATGGCAAATTAACAAATCTAACTTGGTTGCATTCTTTGTTTTTTAAAATGTCTAAGATCCTTGACATCTGTTTGAATTTTATTAGGAGTGCTATCGAGTTGATTCAGTTCAGTTTAAAAGAAGCAACATCTAATTTCTTCCCAATAATCCCACTCTGTTTGAGATAGGCACACCAATATTCCATGCACTACTACAACATAGCTGTTTAGGTACTTTTGGATGCTTCTGATGTAGAAAAAGCAGGTAGTCTTGGTACAGTAAAAGGTGACAAGATAATCACACTGGCATTTTGTTCAGTCCTCCTGCTTCTTCCTCCTAATGTGGATTTCTTCAAACAGCTACAACTAGGACATTTAGCACAAGGTATTATATCAACCCTGTAGCTGAAGTATTGGTTTTAATTTATAAAGCTGTACATAACTTGGCACCTAAATATCTCCAAGTGCCTATGTTGCCTGCAGTTTATCTGTCTGAAGAGTTTCTCCTGGAAGAAGCTGCTTGTGGTCTTCCACTTTCATGTAGTGGGGGTTCCTGAAGCTAGGAAAAACTAATTTTCCATCTTGACATTGATAGTCCAGAACAACCTATTTCTAGAAGCTAGCTTGGCCTTCCAGAAGGTAGTGAAGACTAGTCTTTGATAGGCTTTGAGGAAGGATTATACACTGGATTTATTAACTAGTTTATTGGTATTGTGTGTAATTCATTGGCATTTTATTTTGATTTTGTAATAGTAATAGTAGTAAAGTTGGAAGGGACCTTGGAGGTCATCTAGTCCAACCCCCTGCTCAGGCAGGAAACTCTACACCATTTCAGACAAATGGCTGTCCAGTCTCTTCTTAAAAACTTCCAGTGTTGGAGCATTTACTGCTTCTGGAGGCAGGCTGTTCCACTGATTAATTGTTCTCACTGTCAGGAAGTTTCTCCTTAGTTCTAGGTTGCTTCTCTCCTTGATTAGTTTCCACCCGTTGCTTCTTGTCCTGCCTTCAGGTGCTTTGGAAAATAGCTTGATTCCCTCTTCTTTATGGCAGCCCCTGAGATATTGGAATACTGCTATCATGTCCCCCCTTCTCCTTCTCTTCGTTAAACTAGACATACCCAATTCTAGCAACCGTTCCTTATATGTTTTAGCCTCCAGTCCCCTAATCATCTTTGTTGCTCTTCTCTGTGCTCTTTCTAGAGTCTCAACATCTTTTTTACATCGTGGTGACCAAAACTGGATGCAGTATTCCAAGTGTGGCCTTACCAAGGCATTGAAGAGTGGTATTAATACTTCACGTGATCTTGATTCTATCCCTCTGTTAATGCAGCCTAGCACTGTGTTGGCCTTTTTGGCAGCTGCAGCACACTGCTGGCTCATATTTAAGTGATTGTCTACTAGGACTCCGAGGTCCCTCTCACAGTTACTACTATTGAGCATGGTGCCACCTATGCTGTACTTGTGCATTTGGTTTTTCTTGCCTAAATGTAGAACCTTGCTTTTTTCACCATTGAATTTCATTTTGTTAGTTAGTGCCCAGTGTTCAAGTCTGTCCAGATCCTTCTGTATCTTAAGCCTGTCTTCTGGAGTGTTGGCTATTCCTGCCAGCTTGGTGTCGTCTGCAAATCTGATGAGTTCCCCACCTATCCCTTCGTCCAAATCGTTGATGAAGATGTTGAGGAGCACTGGGCCTAGAACAGAGCCCTGGGGCACCCCACTACACACTTCCCTCCATATAGATGCAGTTCCATTGAGGACCACTTGCTGAGTAGGGCCGGTCAGCCAGCTACGGATCCATCTGGTGGTGATTCTGTCTACCCCACATTTTTCTATCTTATCAAGTAGTAGGTTGTGATCTACTCTATCAAATGCCTTACTGAAGTCCAAGTAAATTATGTCCACAGCATTCTTCTGATCCACTAATTTTGTCACTTGGTCAAAGAATGCAATAAGATTTGTCTGTCATGATCTATTTTTGACAAACCCATGTTGGCTTTTAGTAATGACTTTGTTTGCCATTAGTTATTCGTTGATTCGTTGTTTGAATATCTTTTCCAGGATCTTCCCAGGTATTGAGGTCAGGCTGATAGGTCTGTAATTTCCTGGATCCATTTTTTTCCCTTTTTTGAAGATGGGAACTACATCAGCTCTTTTCCAGCCCTCTAGTAGTTCCCCTGTGTTCCAGGATCTTTGAAAAATATAGTTCAGTGGTTCCTAGATCATATCTGCCAGTTCCTTGAGAACCTTGGGGTATAATCCATCTGGTCCTGGCGATTTGAACTCATCTAGGCTGGACAGGTGCTCACTTAGCATTTTCTTGCCTATCTTAACTTGTGTTTCTATTTTGTTTTTTATGGCACTATTTTTGATAGATTGGTCTGTTTTTTCCCTTTGTGTAAAGACAGATGCAAAAAATGAGTTAAATAGTTCTGCTTTCTCCCTGTTGCTTGTCACCTTCTTGCCACTTCCACCCACTAATAGGCCAATCATTTCCTTCACTTTTTTCTTGTTTTTTACATGTTGAAAGAAGCTTTTTTTGTTATTTTTGAGCCTTAATTAATTTTGAGCCTTGGATTTCTTCACTTCATCTTTGCAGGCTCGGGCTATTTGCCAATATTCTGACTTAGTTGTGTTCCCCTCTTTCCACTTTCTATACTTGTCCTTTTTATCTTTCAATTTGTCAGAGAGTTCTTTATGCAGCCATGCTTCTTTTGAGAGCTGTTGTTTTTCCTCTTTGTTGGTATTGTGCTAGACTGTGCTTTTATTATCTCATTTTTCAAAATTTCCCAAGCTTCTTGAGTTGTTTTCCCCTTGAGGATTCTCATCCATGGAATCCTTCCCAAGCCCTCTCTAAGTTTATTGAAATTAGCTCTCTTGAAGTCCAAGAGTCTAATTTGACTGTGTTCTATTGCTTGTGCTTCTATAATGTTGAATTCTAATATTGCATGATCACTTCCTCCCAGGGTTCCTATGGCTTCAACACCTTCTATCATTTCATCTCTGTTAGTGAGAATTAGATCCAAAATGGCTAATCCCCGAGTTCCCTTCTCTACTTTTTGGGAGACAAAGTTGTCTGCTAGGTTTGCCAGGAACCTGTTTGATCTTCCACTTGGTGCGGAGTTTGTCTCCCAGTTGATGTCAGGGTAGTTAAAGTCCCCCATTACTATTGTGATGTGCTTCCTACATACCTTAGTTAGCTGACTAGCAAAAAGTTCATCTATTTCCTCTGTCATTTCCCCCCCTCCTTTTATATTGACCCAAATGCTGTTATAAGGGTTTTCTTATGTTTTATAATGCTCTTTAGTCACTGTGAGTTCATTACAACTCAGTGACACAGATGTTTGATAATTTTTGAAAAATAACACTCCTGTACTTTATGAATACTCTTTCAGCAGTACCGTAATACATATATTTATATTCAATTATCCATTTAGACAAAAATTAAAGTTTAGAAAGGATCCCTGTAATATTTAAGGAAAAAATCTATATAATGATGGTTTAAAATATTAGATTAGATGTTTAAAGTAAGTGTCCAGTGCAGTCCTCAACTTACAACAGTTCATTTAGTGCCCGTCCAAAGTTACATCACTGAAAAAAGTGACTTATGACTGTTTTTCACACTGTGACCATCGCAGCATCTCCACAGCCTCATGATCAAAATTCAGATGCTTGGCAACTGACTCATATTTATAACAGTGGCAATGTCCGGGGGGGGTCATGTGATCTCCTTTTGTGACCTACTGACAAACAAAGTCAATGGGGAAGCCTGATTCACTTAACAATCATGTTACTAATTTACCAACTGCAGTGATTCACTTAACAACTCTGGCAAGAAAAGTCTTAAACTAGAGTAAAATTCACTTAACAAAGCTTTCACTTAGCAACAGAGATTTTGGGCTCGGTTGTGGTTGTACGTTAAGGATTACCTGTATCATTTCCAGATGTAGTGGGACCCCAAGTATGAACCAGCATAACCTGGCTTTCTTTAAGGGATTTGGATAACTCTATTGTTCCTGCTATGATAGATAAAAATTTGGGAATGCCATTGTGATTTCCCACATAATTTGACATCTTGTGGTTTTAAGGCAGAAGTAACAAACTGAGTCCTTGCTGCAGGAACCTTGAGTGTAGTTCCCAGAGTATCTCAAAAACCTATCCACAAGATGTTGCATATTAATTGTATTTAATTAATGTAATTATAATCAAATGTAAATGTAAAAGTGGAGTCACAGAGCATGAATAATTTAAGTGAACCTTATGTTGGCTCTGGCGTAAGAGTAATAGTATCGTTCTCTGAAACTCAAGGAAATGTAAAGTATAATTTCTGTAATAATCTTAATATCTGAATTTCTAATGTTATTGGCAATGTACAATTTCATTAAAAAAAATGAGTAGTGCAAATTGGAAGATAGAATATGGTCAAAAATTTCCTAGTCTCTCCTATGATGAAATTAATTTTATTTAAGACAATCCTGGAAGCATTTGTTTTGTCAGTAAAACCATTCTCAGTAGTCTCTCTTTAGTTCATTGTTTCCCAATGAATTTGTGGATATCAATTCCCAGAATTTCCTAGTCAGCCTGGCTGGCTGGGGTGTTCTGGGAGTTAATGTCCATGCATTTTAAAGTTGTTAAGTTTGAGAAATACAGCTTTAGGCTGAGGAAGCATGGAGGTTATCTGCAGATTCCACTAAATAAGTGATTTCTTGCTATACAGCATTCCAGATATAATGTTATTTTCTTCTAGCCTGCATTTGCAAACATACTGAAGTGAGAGAAAAAGGAAAGAGAGCTTTTTTCCTTACAATGTAGATGCTTGTCAGAATGTCTCTGCAGACAAACCATAAAATACAGGACACAATCTGGCAAAGTTCTTTCATGGTATTTCAGTAAACGGTAAGAGGCACAAGGTAAGCCTCTGGGAAATTTTGATTTCACTTCCACTAAATGAGATTCTATAAGAAGTACCTTCATAAAGTAAAACTGTCTTAAGGAAGAATAAAGTGTTTACCACCAAAATATTTGGTGTGGAAAGAAAAACAAATGGAGACCAGAACCTACGCTTTCCTGAGGACTATTGAGATATGATGGTAACTATATTAGTTCACAAGTCTTTCCTAAATTAAATGAATTATTGAGCATGCTAGACTTAATTAATGAGGTGACTTTAGTGTTTTTATTAAGCCAGCAATTTATTGTTTGATCAGTTGATTATTCATTATATTGTAAAAATCCAGAACATGGATTTTGAATAGGATTTTGAATAACATGAATAGTTATGTTGTGTGGATGAAACTAAATAATGAAAAGTTGTTCTCTAAATTCTGCTTTGTATGTAATTCTGTAGGTAAAAGTTTAGCAGTTAACATCAATTACAATTTATGGAGCAAACATATAAACCCAAGTGAGCTGTTTCTAAGTGCAAGGAACAAGAACAGAAATGGGCTTAGTCAAAAAGAAATTAACCATTCATTAATACCTATTGCCCCCTTTATGGATTACTGCCTTGTCATGGCGAAGGGGCTTGCGTAACTCAATGAAGCTATAAGCTATGCTGTGCAGGGCTACCCAAGACGGACAGGTTATAGCAGAGAGTTCTGACAAAATGTGATCCACTGGAAAAGGAAATGGCAAACCACTCCAGTATCTTTGCCATGAAAACCCCATGGACAGTACTAAAAGGCAAAAAGATATGACGCTGGAAGATGAGCCCCTCAGTTCGGAAGGTGTCCAATATGCTACTGAGGAAGAGCAGAAGGCTAGTACTAGT